GGAGGTTTTCTTAAAAAAAAATCTGAGTATTTCTGAGATACTGATGCTGGAAGATGAACAACAAGCCAAGAATCTATGCTTTTATATAAAAAATTGTCTCAAATTGCGAGCATTTATATTGTCAGAGTAGATCAACGATCATTAGTATGAAAAGAATTGTAATGTAAACAGATAAGAGTATGTAGGTATGAATATACAGTAAAATGGATATTAGTTTTATTGATGTAAGACATACATAAACGTGTAGGAATGTACATAGTTTGTAATTATAGTTCATACACTGTGACTGAAATTTAAGACTGTAGACCTAAAAAGGTCAACTTGTAAAAGATCTAGGATCTAAACAAGTACGGAATAAATAAAAATAAATGGACTGCAGCAAAACGAAGAATTAGATTTTTCCAGATCAGAAAGGTAGTATCAAAATCAAAAAAGATTTCTATCTAAAAATGTGTTTGAGAAAAAGCTTGTTAATGGCGAAAATGTGAAGAGAAGCTGGTTAGTATACTCAGAATCCACAGGTCACGTGTTTTGTGGTCCTTGCAAATTATATGGAGGTACATCCGTATTTGCCAAAAGTGGATTTAATGACTGGAAAAATTCTAACTTAATAACTGATCATGACAATTCTCCGGATCATCGTAAATGTTTGGGACAATATGTATGTAGAGGTAATCTTTTACAACGACTGGATACCCAAATAGTCAAACAATATAATGAAGAAATAACTTATTGGCGAAATGTATTACTACGGGTAATAGAAACAATTAAGTTTTTAGCTTCTCGTGGGCTTCCATTTCACGGTCAAAATGAAATTATTGGATCTGCACTGAACGGAAATTTTCTTGGTTGTATTGAGCTTATATCTAAATTTGATCCTTTCATGGCTGAACATTTGGTGAGATTTGGACAAAAAGGCAGAGGTTCTCCATCGTACTTATCATCCTCTATAATCGATGAATTTATTTTACTTCTCGCTGACGAAGTTCGACTTTCGATTATAGAAGAAATAAAAAAAGCAAAATATTATTCGATTAGCATTGATTCTACTCCAGATATTTCCCACACCGATCAGTTGACATTTATAATTCGTTATATTTTGCCTGACGGAGAACCTGTCGAACGTTTTGTCACATTTTTACCCAATTGCGGTCATAAAGGTGAAGACATGGAGAAGGCTGTTCTTGCGACAATTGATAAAACTTTGGAACTTGATATTAAAGACTGTCGTGGCCAAAGTTATGATAATGCTAGCAATATGTCTGGTCAATACAAAGGTCTTCAGTCAAGAATTAAAGCTGTAAATCCATTGGCTACTTTTGTTCCTTGTGCAGCCCATTCTCTACAACTCGTGGGATCGGCTGCCGCGGAAAGTAGTGACGAGTCAGCTGCTTTTTTTACACTGGAACAACAACTATATAATTTTTTTTCTGGATCTACAAGCAGATGGCAAATTTTGTTATCTAAATTGGATGAAAAATCGACGGTACTAAAAAATCTATCGAAAACTCGATGGAGTGCGCGAGCAGATGCAAGCAAAGCCTTATACAGTTCATACAAACAAGTTCTGGAAACATTAAACACTATTTGCGAAGATGAAAATCAAAATAAAGAGATCAAAATAGAAGCAACAGGAATNAAAAGATGAGGTGTACAAACGTAAACCACGTAACCTAGACATTCTTTGGAATGAGATTCAAGCAGTGTGTAGAGAAATCTCATTGGACGTTTTGATACGATGTACAGAATCTGTGGTGACTCGTACTCAGAATTGTATTGATGCTGTAGGTCACCAATTTGAACAGTATTAACATTTGTTATTTATGTTTCATTTACATTGGACTTTCAGCTTTCTATTTTCCTGAAATTTAACTTTGTAGAACGGTAAATAAATTTTCTATGGAAGTTCAAAGTGTGTATACATTTTTTTGAAGCACCCTGTATATACTTCTATGTGAACTTAAAAAAGACAGTTTTTTTCTAACTTCTTTGCAATAAACTTAATAAATACATTTCGTGTGCTTTATTGAAGTATTGGAAATCTCCCTTTCGGCTCAGTGAATCTATAAAACACTTATTGTACTTAGTGACCGTGCTCAGTTGTGCAATATTGGTCTTATTCAGAAGATTCGTCGAATTGATATATAATTGGAAGCAAAGGAACGAAAATTATTCCGTTCTGCCTATTCTACAATTATAATGTAATGTTCGTGGGTTTAACAAATTAAATTTTAAGAAGAAAACTATTTATTTACACTAATTACTGTTAAACTTAAAAACACTATTAAATTATTACTAAACTTCGGTAATTATTCTATTTATTTACACTACTGTTACTATTCACTGTTCTATTTATTTCATTTCTATCACTGTCAATTTATCTCTTGATTCACTTCTGCAACGGTCAATTTATTTCTCCT